TAGTCTCTGGGGTGTCTTGGTTGGCCTTTCAAAATCTTCAGTACATCATTCTAGCCTGAATTTTGGGGTTGTATCTGAGCTGTTTCTCTTTAGGTGTCATCCATGTGATAATCTCTTGGACTGGGTGTTTACCAGGGCTCTTCAAGCCACTGGGGACTTCTAAATTCTAAGAGTATGCTACTGAATCGAGATGTTGGACTTGTGGTGCCCCTTTTCCTCTCTCCTGTTTTTCCAGGTGAGTTTCTATCCCCAAACTCCTAAGTCATGCTTTTGAGGAGAAATCCCAAACCTACCATCTAATAGTCAAGTTTACCTTTGAATTTTCTCATTTCTCTGATGAGAGGACTAATCACAGATTGTAGTACCAATTTGGACCTCTCTTCCATGTGCTTTTCTTAAGTGTTCAGAGTAACTGCCTCAGCAAAGTAAACACGGTAAAGTGGATGTTAGTATTTCTATGCAAATGCTTTTTGGATGAATTACTGTAGAAGTAAAAGTTATCAATTCTGATATAAACAACCCATCTTCTTGTCCCTAAGAAATATCACTAAGGGATTTTTTCATCCCATGTTACATACGTAGTTTAATAAAGTGGCCTGAAAGTATTCTTTCACATGTGAGAAGTAGGTGTATTGTGCCTTTCCCATCTGAAGTGCAAAGTACTAAAAGGCAGAACTAATGTGTATTCCAACCCCCACAGTGTCTGTTTCTGGGCTTGCTTTATACTTGATGCTCAGGAAGTGTTTTCACTGGCTTGGGTTGACTACTTGCCATCTGCTCTGTGAGCATTCATTGCTGAATGAAAAGGGAGAGAAAGTGAAAGGAGAAGGGGGGTGGCGGGGAGAGGAAGCTGAAGAAATAAGAGGAAACAGCTGGAAGCTGAAGAGATGGATCTTATGTAAGGTCAGTAAAACAAAAAGCTAGCAGAGGGCAGGGTCAGTACTCCCAGGGTCAGCCCTGGGAGTACAGGGTTAATTAACTTCTGTCAGTTGAGTAGACAGAGCCTTGTGTGCTGTGTTAAAGAGATCAAAGTTACTTCAAAGGAAAACCTAGATTCTTCCTTGTGTACCTTAGTAAGTTGTTCATCAGGTCAAAATTTATCCTGCCCTCTAGGAATTCTGGTCTTCTCCAGGGCTAGCAGAGAGCTTGCTGCCACTTCTCAGGCAACCAAGGATGAAGTGCTTCAAGTATTTATGGATAGCACCAGGTAAGCTTGATGTATTATTCACAGTGTAAAGAGTAAATGCTGAGTATAGCTGTTGTCCCTATGTAGAACTTTTAACAACCAGCTCACCAGATCCTTTCAGCTTTTATGCCTGTATTGGAAAGGTAGAACTTTAGGCAGTGTCTAGCTCATAGACTTCTCAGGGTCAAGAAACATCCTTAAAGGAGTTAATTCCCTCTCCTGGAGCCTTAGCCAGGTCATATGTTGTCCGGGCCTTGTGTTACCATGTGTTGGCATTGCTTTCTAGAATGGAGCAGCCTTCCCAAAGCTTAGTCTTGTAATGTCACATCAGTGTCTTAGGTCACTGCTGTTCACTTCCCTTATCCAGGGAACATACTTCATAGGTGCCTCAACATCTGTTTCGTTATTCCCTGTTCCCTTCACTGCCAAGAATAGAGGGACACTCAGTTGAAAATCAGATTGCTCCAGTGAAGAAACTTAAAAAAGATGTTTCTGTTGGAGTTTAAGAGTGTTCATTTGATTTTTCTATATTTTTGCCCCACCCCTACTCTTCACAAGAACATTTGGACAGGCAGCATTAATAATTAGTACTTTTTTTTGCACATGAATAGAATTTTTAGTTTTTCTGGTAATGCAAATGAGTGGCACAATGCTGTTGAGTGTCATTACATCCGACTTAACCAATGGAATGTATTTGGGGTAGAAGCTATAGCCGCTGAGAAGAGGTTACCTCTGTAATAGACAAGTTTTATGTAAAAATTTAACTTGTGTTTTCAACTTTTAACACAATTTTGTAACTGAGCTTTGTGGTGTGGTTCAGGCTCACAAAGTTTGTCCCTTCAGTGTCAACTTGTTTTAAGCTCCTGGGCCTGGGGCATCTGAGGGCAGTGAAGAACAGGTGTCCAAAGGAGAAATGTTGGTGCCCGAGAGTATGTTTTCCAGTTGTATTGAATTTCTTACGTGGTGTATTTTTGACCTTAGTTTCTTTCCTCCTTGTGGCCTATGCTATTTTGCTTGCTATTTGTTGGATATTCTCCTTCGTAAGTCATTCAAGAGTAGTAAAGTGGATGTTAGTATTTCTACTCAAATGCTTTATGGATGAAGCTGATAGGTTTAGCATTGATTTTTACCAGTGTCTTTCAAGAAGAATTAAGGAGATAAATGTGTATCTGTGCCTTTGGACTCTTTTGGAGTCTGGAGTATGTGACCCTTCTTAGAGACAATAATGTGTTTTAATTAAGAACCCTCAACTATCAGTTGAACTCAGTGTCTACTAGGAAAATGGGTAGATTTGTTCCTTGTCCCTTTGTTTTCTGTGACTATGTTCCAGCTGTCAAGGAACTTAAATAGGTATTCAGGGGGAAAAACTTTCACTGTTTCCCCTTTCCTCACCTTGCCAGTTAAAACAGAAATAACTAGTGAAGACATTTTAGGTGGCAGAATTGAAACACAAACCCAACATCTGACCACATTGGCCACAGGCAAGTGGCTTTAAGCCCTTAGTGTGGTAATCCACCTCAGGGGTAGGGGGGGGTGTAAGGGGAGGAGATCACTTATGCTTTTCTCTCAGAGAAGCTTGGGGTACGGGGGTGGGTGCAGTTCACTTTGGTCTGGTAAGAGTGTACTTCCTTTTTTTATCGATGGCATTGAGGCTGATATTGAAGGGTAACATTTCTTTCTGGCCAGTTTCTTGATATTTATAAATATAGTCATGGTTTTTACTAGTAGATTTGCATGAAGAATTCGTACATTCAGTTGTCAGTTTCAAGCCTCTTCTAACTATTCTCTACTGAAAGTTTTGGAATTGATTTGTTTTCTGTTTGTCGAGCAGTCTTATCTAAGGACAAGTAATTGATAACAGCAGAGATGCTTTCCATTCCTAGGAGTCTTAAGTCTGTAATCCAAATCCTTAATTTATTCACAGTATTTTAAAATCCTTTTCAAACTAGGAAGGAAATATCCTGTTGCTTTCTAATATTTGCTAAAAATTGTCTTTAAAATTGGTAAAGGGTCACAAAAAATTATTACAATATATAAGGTTCAATATACTAATTATCCTGATTGAGCATCACATATTGAACAGAGGTATTGATATTCAACGCTGTACCCCACAGATATACAATCAATTATGTCTCAATAAATTTTTTCTAAAAAGTTGTCTTTAGGGAAATAGACCTTAGGGCTCTTTTTTTTTTTTTTTTTTTTTTTTTTTCTCTTTTTCCGTGTCCGGCAACAGATCACAACCCTCAGTGTTGCCCCCGTTACCGGACCAGGACCGGCAACGGGATCGCAGCCCTCGGTGTTGCTCCCGTGCCTCGCTCAGCCAGTGAGCGGGAACCAGTCTGTATGTGGGATCCGAACCCTCGGCGGGAGCGCTGCCGCACTTCCCAAGGGGCGCACTGTAGCAGTGCGCCACCAGGCCGGCCCGACCTTAGGGCTCTTTGAAGGAGAGAGGGATGAGAGAAAACCTATCTCTTTGAGAGAAAGTGAAAGGAATAATTAACTGGCTCAGAGCTCCTGTGCGTAGTTTGCAGCTCCAAAGTTAATCTAGAACCATTCAATAGCACCAATAAAAATATTTACTTAGTACCTTTTACATTTCAGAAATGTTGTAAGCATTTTACATACATTTGTCATTTAATCCACAGGTCATCCCTGTGAGATGGGTATTTTGTTCTTATTTTCCACATGAGGAAACTGAGTCACTGAAAGATTAGGTAAAAGGTCATACAATTTGGGGGGGGGGGGAGTAACCTGAACAGGGTGAGTTGGGGATCTGACTTTTGTTTGAGTGGATGAATTTACTGTCTTTAGACATGTTTCTTTGACTGGACCCCAGTATATAATCTGTGGCAGGTGGCTTGAGAAGGGGCTTGTTTTGTTTGTGGTTAAGGATATGGTAAAAGGGCATAAAATTTGGGGGGGGGGGGAGTAACCTGAACAGGGTGAGTTGGGGATCTGACTTTTGTTTGAGTGGATGAATTTACTGTCTTTAGACATGTTTCTTTGACTGGACCCCAGTATATAATCTGTGGCAGGTGGCTTGAGAAGGGGCTTGTTTTGTTTGTGGTTAAGGATATTGACTGTTCTAAAGGTAAAATTGCCCCTTCTAGAGATGGAGTCTTTGATTTTACTGGTTTCATTATATTCCTCTAACAGTTGGAGCTGATTGTTTTTGAATACTTATTCCAAAGTTTTGGATATTTTCCAGATTTTAAAAATTGCATCTGAATTTAAAAGGTTGTTAATTTTTCTTTATAAGGGAGAGTCTGGGGAACAATTAGGAATTCCAGTTTTGTCTTATGGATAAAGATATAATTAGCCGTTTTCCTCAAGAAAATTGATACTTCTGGATCCCACCTCTTCAGTAATGAGAACTGGACTTTCTTCACTCAACCTCTACTTCCTGTTAGTGGGAAAACCCCTCCCTAGAGGTGCTGTGAGAAAGATTGCTGGAGAAAGCTTTTCTAGATCCCAGGGTAAGGAGTTCAAGAGAGTTCAGCAATACTGTCATTAGAGTAATGGTCTTCATTAAGTACTAGTTTTCACAATCCCGAAGCTTCATTTTCACCACAGTTTGAAAGGGAGCAGCTAAGGAGAGGCTGTACGTGGGAGGAAGAAAACTGAAGAGATGCTTTACAGAGACCTTGAAATGAATGTGTTAAGGTAGGGCAGAAGCAGAGACTTGCTATCCACTGAATAAAAAAACAAAAACAAAAACATGCAGTGTCCAAGGTCAGAGCAAGAACATTAAAAAAAAACCCAAAACTGGTTAGCTCAGTTAGTTAATAGCACAGCCTTTTAACACCAAGGTCAAGGGTTTGGTTCCCTGTGCAGGCCAGCCGCCAAAAAAAATAAATAAATAAATAAAAGCTTTAGTTTACCTAGTTAATTTCTTAGGTTTACATCTTGGTTCCCTTTTTATCTCACATGTATATATGAACTTAGGCTTCCTGAACCATTTTATTTTTCTTTCCAAAAGAGACTAATGGACATTTATGGGAGACATGGGGCTGCCCTAGCAGTTTAGCTGAGAAATGTATCAGAAACTTCATGATTTTCTGTCCCCTCCTGTCTTAGGCTGACCGGTTCTCTGGTGTGTTACCTGCTTCTGATCCAAACTGCAGAACTTCTCATTCATCCCCAAGGCCTCCAGGCAGTATCCAATGGGGAATCAGCTCTAAAAGGAACCAGACCAGCGTTTTCCAGCCCCTTCATTCTGGTGACTGAGAAAAGGAAAGAGTTGGGAAAGGGCATACTTGTGCAGTGGATGGCAAGGAAACACAGACTGTCAAATTACTATGCCTCTTCAGTTTCTATTACCATATAATTCTGCAACCATATTATTTTTATTGTTTATGTATGGGAAATGTTGGAGATGGTGACCTTGATTAGAAGTGTCTGGAGGGTATTAAATGGAGGAGATAAAAAAGTTGGGGGCCGGCCCGTGGCTCACTTGGGAGAATGTGGTGCTGATAACACCAAGGCCACGGGTTCGGATCCCTACATAGGGATGGCCGGTTAGCTCACTCGGGAGAGCGTGGTGCTGACAACACCAAGTCAAGGGTTTAAGATGCCCTTACCGGTCATATTTAAAAAAAAGAAAAAAAGTCAGTTGGTTTTAAAAGATGTTGAAGTCTTGAAATCTAAGAAAAATTTTTTAAACCAGAGATATAAAAATATCACTAATACAGGCTGCCCCTTCATTTCCCTGTCACAGGAGACTTCTTGGACTGGAGATACTTGTTTAATAATAGCTTGTCTCTGATATTCCCAGTAGCTACCTACCTCTGTGAGGAAAGGCTAGAAAACGTTCAGGACATCATACAGGCTCCTCATCTACAAAGTTCCAGTAGCAGTGACGCCTACACGGAAGACTTGGAACTGCAAACAGAGGCTGGGGTCACCTCAGTGACATCTGACGCTGTCCAACCAGAAGTTTGATTTTTGTTTTGGGGGGGTGAAGAAGGAAGCAGACTACTAAAGGACTAAAATAATTTGTACTTTCTCATTTGTTTTTATTTTTTGGTGGGACAGGAGGGGTGTTCTATTAGAATTTCACATCCTATCTGGAGTCAAAGGGGAGGATGGGGAAGCTCAGCCCTTCACCCAAGAATAACCTAGTAATGACATCTCCATGCGTGGGAAGTGTTTCCCTCAACACTGGGAGGATCTGAGACTGCACCCCAGTGGGATTCTCTGCTTGAGTTGGAAGGCCGCTCAGAGTGCAGAGGGCTTAGCTGGCCAGGGATGAGATGCCAGAGGGGACAGACACCCAAAGTCGAAGGGTCTTTCCCCAGTTTGGAGGTGGGAACTCTTCTGTGCATGAGGGCCTGAAGAGCCGGGTGACCATTGTGGCCTGTGCCCTCCGCTGAGGGTGTGATTGGGATGCGGCGCTGCTGGGCACCGTGTCTGAGTCACGGGAGACGGCCCAGCTGTGCCCAGCGGGCCAGCGCCAGACCCTGGCGTCCTCCATCTTCTCTCCTGAGCTCCCCCTGCTCCAGCTGCCTGAGCCACGGACCGCAGCACCACACACCCCCGCGGGGGGGGACGCCGCGCCCCAT